GCGGCTAGGGTCTGGAACCAACTTCCAAGAGAAGTGGTGCAGGCTCCTACCCTGGGGGTTTTTAAGAGGAGGTTAGATGAACACCTTGCTGGGGTCGTTTGACCCCAGTACTCTTTCCTGCCATGGCAGGGGGTCGGACTAGATGATCTGCTCAGGTCCCTTCCGACTCTAGAAACTGTGAAACTATGAAACCACTCTACTGCAAGTAGTGTAAATGTGAGGCAAGGTATCGTGTAAGTTGAAACATGGTCGTGTTACATAAAATGTGTATATGTGAATCAGTGTAACTTGAAACCGTGTAACTGGGGGTCCAACTGTAAATGCAAATACTACCCTGTTGCAAAGTTTTTTCACGCGTAGCAGTGCACATGTAGACACTGACTGGTTGGCTAGGGCACAAGGATGCTTCAGTGTCGGGGCTGCCTGCTGGCTAGACCCACGCTGAAGCACCCTGGTGCCCTGGCTAGCCCCTCTGCAGCACACTGAGCCCAGTCTAACCAGCCTCAGGCTGACCTCCTGGGCCCCCTGCCAGCCAGGGCTGCTGTGACCTGGTCCAATGTATTGTGGCCTGGGTGCACATGTAAACTGTGTCTGGGAGCTTCCCAGGAGCAATGAACTGCAGAGCGTCTACATGTGCATGGAGCAGTTTATTGCTGCGCATTACTGCTGCACATTAATGGCATGTAGTTTTAAACTTACTACCTCCTAGTTTCATTTTATGACTATTCAAATTAAACTAGTTTTACTAAAAGTGAAACTCCTGTTTTATAACGTGCACATTTCAGTACCATTAAACTGTCGATACTGTGGATCATGTGTTGAAGGTCTAGTCATTGGTGCATCTGGATCAAGGTAATATACTTCATTTGTTCTAACATAAGGAATAAAATGAGAAGAGGGAGGCCTTTCAGGTTCAGTAACTGGAGATGATTTCCTTTGTTGCATATCTGCGTTGGTATTTTTCTCTCTTCCGATATTGCCATTATGGACTGGGAAATTAGAAGCATTCATCTGTTTTTGCTGTATTTGGTATAATCTATTTTTAACTGCTGGAACAGGCGGTGATTCACATCTGTAGAAGACAACTGCTGTTAGACCAAACAGCCACTTCCAAGCAATATGCTTAATTTCTGTAATGTTTTTAGAATTTCTGAGATGATATTTAATGAATACATCTTTAAACACAACATTTAAAACTGTCTTGTTTCCCCACCCCACTGAACACTGACTTTGTTTCCTACTGATCTTTCAGAAAACAAGACTCTGTGGATCTTGTTTTCCAAATAACACAGTGCCATCAGAATGAGTCTGCTCTACCTCTCATTGTTCCAGGATAGCGTGAGTGACTTGAAGGAAAAACCCCCTCTGGTCTTGTTATTTCCACGTACCATAATGGTCAGTCCCTCTGGACCAAAACAATCTTTAAGGCTTGGTCAGTTTTGAGAATCCAGCTGTTGCTGTTCTATCCACTTGCAGCAAAGGTGAGCTCTAGACTAACTAACGTTCTATAATTTTCCTTTTACAGCATATAGTCTCTCACATTTTGTTACCACTTGAATGATTTCCTTGTCATTCTCTTGGGAAGCTAATGCTAGTTCTATGCAATTCAAATAAACAACTGATATTCTTGAAATCTATGCTAGTTCTTTTAAGGTTAAAATGCTATTTTAACCATTTTCATAAGCCATACCCAAAGTTAAATCCAAACAAGTGAGTTACATTAAAAATAAAGGCCTGCAGACTTCTGCTAAACTGACCACAAAAAGGTGCAGGTCTACTTCTGAAGAAACTTAATTTACCCTCATTTAGGGATAAGTTGTGTTTTCTGATGGATACCTTTTGCTCCCACTGAAGTTTTAAAAACCTATCAAAAATTAAAATTTAGCCATTAGGATTTGATAGGCCATTAGGGTACTGGAACAGTTTCTTCACTGAAGAATCAGATTTATTTTGCACCAAATAAAACTCTGTGGCTGAGTTAGTGAGTGACTACAGCACAGCTGGCAGTCTATGATCCATGAAGCTAAAGGGCTTTTGGAAGTTTCAGTAGCGAGGCACTCTGCTAGCATTTTGGAGGCACAGGGCTTCTCCCACGTGGCAGGAAGCAGGGGGAGTGGTGACTTGTTCTGGCTCTGCCTCCAGCAGCAATGGGGAAGGCCAGGTTGGAAGCGTCCTGCTTCCAGAGCTAAGCTCCATTAAAGTGCCCCCACCCAAGCTGCAAAATGTGGCTAACCTCACACGGGACTAGAGGAGAAAAGTTAAGTACTTAAAACAGTGTTTCTGGTGTTTGCAATCCCTAGCTTTCAAAAGTCATGAGTCAAGTGCCAAAAAACTCAAGATTGGCTTTAAAACAAATGATTTTGTTTATAATGTTCTCTTTAGCCAGTTTTTAGTACTGGAATCCCATTGGACCATTTCAACTTAGAAAACTAAAGAACCTTTATTTGACTGATCACCAAACTTTTCTGCTTTCAGATACAGCATAATTTACTGAAGAATAATATTCTGGACTGTGCCTAGTACAGATGCATATATCTACTGTGCTTTTAGTAAAGAAATCTTATGCTAAAAATAATACTCTAATTTCTCTTTTTTCGTATATTTTTTCTTGTAGTAACTGATACAGAATACAGACCTACCTTTCTTCATGAATGTTTGCAGACGGTTCTTCCTACAAGATCAAGAAAGTAAAAATTTAAACCCCCGAATTTTTATAATGTATACTGTGTTTTGAAATACTGCTGTCTTCTACAGCAGTGGTTTTCAACCTGTGGTCCATGGACCTTGGGGGGTCTGCAGACTATGTCTAAGGGGTCCACAAAAGATTACTATGATTTAATCAAAAGTATGTGAATGCCCACTCTTACAATTCAAAGGGGTTTGCACCTCCATTCAAATTTTTTTAGGGTCCCACACATGAAAAATTATTGAAAACTACTGTTCTACGGGTCTCCCTGAATTCAGGGAAAAAAGATGTCTGAAAATTGTATCCAAAAAGTGCTCTTATACACATTATAGGCTAAGTTAATTGGTGGTGGAATGTTACTGAAGTCAGCTAAGATCCTGAAGATCATGTGCAAAGTTTGGGATTTCATACTTTCTCATGTTCAGAGGCACCGTTTTTTAAAAGCACATTGTGACTGAAGGAGAGACCCCCTGAGGCCATGTCACTCCCTGTCCCTGTCTAATTACTAGGGGAAGGACTCTGTTAGCCCTGCAACACACACATTCTTTCTAATGTAGAAGGGCTTAGAGAAATCAATGGTTTAAAATTTCAAGCAGCAGAATCAGTTTGGCTTGAGACCATGGAAATGATATCCTGGAAGAGAGATGAGGAAGCTGCAGAAGCAGCTCAGGTAATTCCAAATCTGACTCAGTTTTTAAAAGTTTGTAATCAGTTTTGAAAGTCTGTGTTTCTACAGTATTCATTTTCTGACAGGAAGGTAAATGATCTTAAAAAGGTCATTTGACAACTGGAGCCATTTTTCAATGGAAGATCATGCTGGCACAAAGGAGGCTACAAGGCAGTCCACCAAGCCTGGAAGTGAGAGATACCAACAATATTCTTTCAAGTGTGGGAAGATCTTTTTCTTCAGCCATAGGCTACATATTTGTTTGAGAAAGGGAAAAGAAGAAAATATATGCTTACGAGCATATATGTTGTTGTCATAAACACACTCTCATTAGCTTGCAAGGGCTTTTTCTAGTTCTTTGTAAAAATTACAGTTCAACCCTGCACCCCTTTCCCCAAAAACATACATTGGTGGATGCAAAACAGCAAGTGAACAAAGTAATTCTAGCCTGTGGAAGTACAATAGCTATCCAGAGTTAGGCTTTTCTGAAAATAAGATTTCCTCTATACAATCCAGGGGTGGGCAAAATATGGCCCAAGGGCCACATCCAGCCTGTAGACTGGATCTGGCCTGAGGCTGCCCCTACAGCACTCCACATGGGGCCAAGTCCCTCCCACTGTCACCGGGGCAGCATGCACGGTGCTCTCACAAAACCAGGCCCCAGGCAGCATACTTCCAGCGGAGCTGTTTCTGGTGCAGCTGCAGCTGTCAGGGTGCTGCTCTGCTCCCCTTGCCTCCCGCGATAGCCCCAGCCCCAGCCCCAGCCATGCCACTCCAGGCAGGATGGGAGGAACCTTCAGCCAGGTGGCTTAGTCCCCAATGCATGGGGCTCTGGATCCAGCTCCAAGGCACTTTCCACTCACTCTGCCTGCCCACCCGTAGGTTGCTGCTCATCATGCCAGGTGAGCAGAGCAGGTGGAAGGCAGCCAGGAGCTAGAGCTGGAGCCCTGCATGCTGAGGTAGGAGCCACCTGGCTAAAGCTCCCTTCCCCCACACTGGCACAGCAGGGGCAGGAGGAGGAGCTGTCACTGGAGGTAAGAGGAACAGAGCAGCACCTAGCCAGCTGCAGCCACATCAGGAATATCCCCGCCGGAAATTGTGAGCTGGCTGGGGCAGGGGCTGGAGCCAGGGCCATGGGTAGGCTGGCGAGTGCAGACAGGAGTGTGGTGCAGGCTGCCCTGGGCAGGAGCAGGTGGGGCTCAGCCCCACACAGTGTCATGGGGACAGGCGCAGACTGCATCACCTGGGTGAGCTCTGTTCCACATGTTCCCCTGTCCTCCGCCTCATCACACCTGGGTAGCACCCCCCCCAATACCTTCACAGGGCAGAAGTATGCAGGGAGTGGATTGTGGCTTGGCCTGGGCCCTGGTTCTGAACTCTTGCCACCCTGTGACCTGGCCCCATGATCTTGGCCTTGCCCACCCTGCTCCCAAACCCTGCTTCCAGCCCACCCGCAGCACCATAGGGAGTTTTGGTGAGTTGCTGTGGGGTGGAAATATTGACCCTCTCCACAACAGCTCATCAAAACTCCCTATGTTGCCCTCAGGCCCAAATAATTGTCCACTCACTCCTGATATAATAAATAAATGAGAACAGAGTTGCAAGGAACAAAGACAGAGAAGAGTGTTGTAGTGATATCAAAGCCCAGGTGAGTGAAATCTCAGTGTATTAGATCATTAAAGTACTGCTTTACTTTATTGCTGTTCTTCACTGCAAGCCTTGGATCTGAGTACAAATCCCAATGCTGGAGTTGCATCCATGATTTTCTAGCCCTACACAAATCATATACTCATTGAGCTAAAATGACAATGAAAAGATGTTGCTGTCAAACACCAATTTGTTACCTTTCTGACTGTATGTCCCTTGCTCATCGTGTCAGTTTTCTGGTGAGGTAAAGGAGACCTCTCTGGAGAAGGACCTTTCTTTATACAGAGATTACCTGGGATATTCCTTTCTACCAACTGAAGCAGCTCCATTTGTCGTCTTACTTTCTTTTCTTCCCTTTGTTTTTGTAGCCGTTGAGGATCTCTCTCTGAGGCCGCAATATATCTTTTTCCAGGTTTATTTATATTCCAGTCAGGTCTCTTTCCATATTTTCCCATAGGTTTTGTTTGTTTTTCTTGTCTTGCAAATTGGTCATATTGAGCGCTATAATAAGTGCCATTATTCTCTTTTTCTGAAATTTCCTTTTTATCTGGGCACTGCATTTGTTTTTGGCACTTCTTGCTATTAAATTTCTCTTTGTATTCTATGGAAATATCTGGAGATGTACCATCCACATTTCTCTTTTCTGTATCTGGCTCAATGCATGATTCAGAATTGATACATGCTCTGGAGTTGAAGTAATCTAAAAACAAATGTATCTTTTATTTTTACATTTTTCAAAGCAGTCTAAATGATATCTTTGATTTGTAATTGAATAACAGAATATCAATCTATCAATGCTACATTTGTTCATAACTCTAGCTGCTACAATAAGAACATACTTATTCTTTTTGCTGTATCAGAGTAGATAGGGTAGAACGTCAGCTCCCGTGTGGAGCAGACACAATTAATCGAGTCTGTTCTGAAGCCACAGATCTCTGGCACACCTGAGAACTAAAACGTATATGTATAAATACCCTACAAGTCTAGACTGGCTACAATGGGGAGATTTTTGTTTTAGCAGAGGACTAACACCCTTAAATGCACCTTTTTGATCGTAAATAACCCTCTTTATGACTGCTATAAGCTTATTAACTGTGCATAAGGACAGATGGGCCAGAGGGGGAAAAGAGGAAATAAACAGAGACAACTGCAAGATATGAGGAAATAGTAAAAGTATATACAGGAGACCCTCGCCATTCATGGGGGATACGTTCTAGAGATCCCTGCAAATGGGGAAATCTGGAAATACTGTACTGCACTGTCTACATTGAAAACTTGTTCGGGCTTGTAACTCTTTTCCTTGATGATTTTAAGAAGCTGCAGGGGATAATCCCATGCTGCTTCATGGTCTGCTGATGCCAATTCCCCTATCAACTTCACATTATGTAGGCTGTGCCTGTTTGTAAATTTCTTGAAGCACCCCTTACTCGCAGAGTGCAGTAACAAAGTGTCATCATGCTGCGCGGGGAAGAGCATGTGGGTTGGTGCAGTGCACCACGAATATTTGAAAATGTGAATCGTAAATCTGCGAATAGCAAGGGTTTCCTGTATGCTGAATGTGAACAAGAATCAATAAGTGATGTAAGCATGAAATCAGCTAAAATCCAAATAAGGAAAGGTAGAATTTGAATGGATGGCAGCAAACAAAGGAAAACAACTTGGGTACAGGGAACTGAAGACACCACCATGCAGATGTACAGAAGCCTGATTGCCTGATGATTGCGCCTGGCCACCAGCATCACCAAATGAGACTACTTATCCCACATGTAATGTATCTTGCTACTTTATTTTGTTTAATCTGTTAATAAATCAATGTGTCCCATTTGACTGGAAAGGTCTGAGGTCTCATTTATTGTTGCCACCCTGGCCACCTGTAAGTCAGGTTTAACAGAATTAAATACAGTGACAAGGTAAACATAGTCTACGTTTTAAAACACCAGTCAGTAACATTTTCTGGCAGTGTGCTAGAATGGCCCAGCTTGGATCCAAGGCAGGCTAGTACTGGGACCAGGCCACAGTGCAGCATGGAAAAGCCCCTGCCACTGAATGCAGCTAATACCACAGCTCTGTGGTATTAAAGCATTGAGAACAAAACCTAGTTAATGTAAGAAAATCTACATAAAATAAAACTACACTGTCTTGAAAAGTGGGGAAAGTCTATACAGCACAAGGGAGTACCATGCTGAGATGCTGCAGCCATACCAAGATGCCCCATGGCCTTTCTGCATGCACCAGCTCCTGAAATGGGGGCTGTGTTAGTCCTGTAGTATGTTTGTCAAGCCATTTTATTGATATTTTGAACTCAAGCTTATATCTTGAAGAAAGATGGTGTAATTAAGGACCTTGGAGAGAAAAGAAATTCTCCTCCGTAAGCTACAGAGCAACAGCAAAGCTGCAGTATAGCTTCAGCTGCAAATATAAGCT